CCTGTCGGGTATAGCAGGGTGTAGTTGAGCAGACGCGGCATCGTGCGCGAAGCAACATCTGGTTGACTCGAGGTGGCACTACGGGGACAAACCGTCTGAGTCATGGAAGTCTACACCATTTTTTTTTCCACGGCAATAAACTCATACGGGGCACTTGTCAACCGGGAAGCCTCTCTTCTCTTCCCGTTTCTCTTCCTCCCTCCTTCTTTTCCTTCCTTCCTTCTCTGATCCCTCCTCCTTTACCTTCTCCCTTCAACTACTGGACTGGTAGATGCCTCGAGAAAATACCCCTGGACCCTCGCAGCGAGAGCACGTCTGGTTGACAAGTGCCCCGTATGAGTTTATTACCGTGGAAAAAAACGGTGGATACTTCCATGACTCAAACGGTTTGTCCCCTCGAGTCAACTAGATGTTGCTTCGCGCACGATGCCGCGTCTGCTCAACTACACCCTGCTATACCCGACAGGTAGAGAAAAAAAGCAGTCTTTTCAGAATGAGTACGATTGGTTCCTCAAAGCCGACGATGATACCTACGTAGTATTAGAAAATTTGAGGTAAGCTGTCTTCTTTTACCCTTGCTTCTATTATTTTACTTTTCTTTAATAACTTAGTAGGATTTCTATGTCTTCAAGGTATATGCTTCTATCTCATTCACCTGACCAACCAGTTCATTTTGGCTGTAAATTCAAGCCATTCACGAAGAAAGGATACCATAGTGGTGGTGCAGGCTACGTTCTTAGTCGAGAAGCGTTGAAAAAGTAAGTGTTCTAAATGTAATTTTCTCAAGGAAAATATCTCGAGATTACTCACGTTCTTCCAGGTTCGTTAGGGAAGGTTTAACTAATCCGAAAAAATGTTCCCCAAACCATGGCGGCGCAGAAGATGCTGAAATGGGAAAATGTCTCGAGAAAATTGGCGTTGTAGCTGGTGATTCGCGAGACGGTGAACAACATCACAGGTATGCTTTTCTTATAAATAGCTGTACAAAATTCCAAATTCCAAAAGTATTTTGTTAGGCTGTACTAGCTCTCCGAAATTTGTTCGCATTGGTGCGAGGGCATATTCCGCGCTTCCACAGTTAGTGAAAGCTCTTTCGCTGAGACGACGAGCAAATTCGCTGCCGCACCCACTGTATCATTTCGCTGCTGAAGTGTGAGTGGTAAGGGCGCCAGTACTAGTAACATAAGGCTGACTCCTCCCCTTTTGGGCAGGTCCCACCCCCATCTGTGCAGTGCATGCTCGTACAATGCTGAAAATGAAAAGGGAGTCGTTTTGCGCGTTTTCTATAGGTTGCTTTCTAATCTGCTCACTACATTAGTAGCACCTATATTCATATTTGAATCCCACCGTATGCAATTTCTTTACCCCACTTTCCGCACTTTACTTCCGCATTCTGCGATTACAAACCCCGCTGCCTGCTGTTTGTTATCGCAGAATGTGCCTTAGGTTTGAAAGATACTTTCCGTAATTGTCATTGTTGAGGTTCACAGACGAAACTGCAGACTCATAACTGCTCATAGACTTGATAGTAAATACAAGCCATTGTTGCTCCCTCCGCATGGCGAGCTCGCCATCCATTATTGTTCCGTGTGTGATTGCTTAAAGGATTTGATTTTTCGAATTTTCTAGAGAGTCCAACAGTTCACGTGACACCACCTCAATTGAACTGTAACGTAAAAGTAGGAAAAAGGAATTTTTGAAGTAAAAAGGTCGAAATTAAACAAGACTGCCGCCTCTGACGATATACATGAAAGGGTTTAATGGCGCCTTAAGCGTGTAAGCGCCAGATAAGGTAGCAGGGCACCTTCTGTCGCTGGGAAAAGCTTTGGCACAATACGACTCCGTCCTAAACTTCCTCCTCTGGTACAACCTCCCTTCCCCATCCTACCTGCCGCCTTACTAACTTTTTTGTTTTTCCCACTTCCTGCCACTTTTCTAAAAATGGATTTTTCAAAAGGTTCGAGCGAGGCGGGTTGAGGAGAAGATATATTGTACATGTGAGACGGAAAAGCGCGAAAATTCAACAACCGGGGAATTTTCTCAAGGTTCTCAGGGCCAGATAAGATTCCCTAGTAAACAGCCCCTTGCTGGGGACTCAAGCATACGACGTGCTCTGTAAGGTGATTTCCCGAGACGTTCTTTCAATAGCCTTTGCTTGGTGGAGGCGAGCTATCTATAATAGGAGTGAACTCAAGGTTGCTCCCTCCGAATGTTCTCATAAAGATTACTGTAAACGACGGTCTAGTAATCTTGGTTAATCCTAGAATATTGAAACAGCAGAAAGTATTGATAAGTTGTTGTGATAACTGTTGTAATAAGTGCCCACAGTCAACAAACAGTGAACGGGAGGACAGAAACTATTTGTGCAAAAATGAGATGCACAGCGATATTTCATTGTCGATGCAATCAATGTTGATAGAATGCATGGTTTACAGATTCTTGCCGTTCGTGCCCGAACATCACATTGTTCCCGGTCACGTTGACAAATCGTTTTGGTTCTGGTCCTACATATACTACCCAATGGACCAAGGGCCAGGCTGTTGTTCTGGTAAGTTTTATGGAGATTTGCATTAGTCCTTCCTAATGGTATAACTGCTATGTATAATTTGCCATGTTTGTTTGTTTGTTTGTTTACTTGCGTGCTTGTTGATTTGTCCAGTCGCTTTCACCTGAATAACAATTCGAAGAGGTTGGGTAAGGGTCCAGGTAGGCAGATCGCGGGACAAGATGCGCAAAGCAGCCTAAGCCCCACGTGCTGTGGGCGGGGCGTGCGCCGAAAGTGAGCAATGTCAATGCAAAAATCAAATTCGAAAGAAGGACAGCCCAGAGACGGGAAAAAGCGCATGAAATTAAGCAGTGGTAAACGGATGAAACGGGAAGACACATCCGCTGTAGTCGGGGAGTAAGTTGGCAGGGAGGAGTATCATCTGAGGAAACCGTGTGTGCCTGAGATTTGCTGAGACCCTGCAAAGTGGGAGGAGCGTGCGCTCAAGCCCTGCAGTCTGGAGAACGAGAAATAGAAACGGACGAGAAAAGAGAATCAACCCGGTGTTCGAGTTCTATGGAGTCATGGGCAAGCGATCGGTATTGATTGAAATTACTGTTACCGATGTCGACTAGCTAGCAAATACTAGCTAGTTTGTGCGCGTCACAGCAGTATGGAACTAGTCAACCATGTGTTTATGTGTAAGTTCCACAAAAGTGGAAAGATCAGTCACGAGATAACCACTATTTCCCTAATTTTTATATGAATTCGAATAAATAGTTGAATGATTGGATGTTGCCCTTTCAGATTACGCCATTTCTTTCCACTATGTCAACTCGAACCTCATGTATGCGCTTGAATATTTGATCTATCACCTCAAGCCGTTTGGAGTTGATCGCTCACTCAAGTGCGTATCTTTTCTTTATTTTCTATTTTTATTCAACTTTTCGACGATTTTGAGATATTTTATTGGATTTTTTTGAAATAGTCGCTAAAATGGAGCACTATTGCTTTTGTGAGGTAATTACCTCTAACTGACCCGTTGCTAAGCATTTCTATGGGGATTAATCTTTATAGGTTAATATAAACTTTTCAAATAAATGGGTTTGAGTTATTTCGGGATTAGAAAGAAGACAGACGAGAGGTACGGTAGAGGTAGTCTCATACAGATTACTTGGGGTCCTTTAGAGAAGTTAATGCAACGTGTCATATAATGGTGCATATACAGGGGGGGGGGGCAAAAAAAAGACATTTCGACCGAGTCACATATCAGCAAAGTTTTCGCAGCCCAGACAGAGGACGTGGATACGAGTACCAGGGCGGAAGATACCCAAGATGTTCCTCGATAAGCAGGAGCTGGCTCTCGCCCATCACCTTCATGTACACCAAAATATGAAGTCATCTCCAGCCGCAACCTGACTGGAGAAGACCTTCGGAATTCATGTCACCTCCGAACAGCTGCGAAACTTCTAGTATGGAGTCACCCATAAATAGCTACCTGGAGAGCAGTACTCTCGATCTGGAAGACCTCCATCATCGAGCAGCTCCGTCGCTACGGTCTAGGACATCATCTTCACCTCAGTCGCCAAGGCGCCAGTTGATGGTGGGGACCGGACGTACCTGGAATGGAGAGACCGATATTTTCTTCGTGGGGCCCCGGACTAAAGGTGAGCGCTGGCGGTTACATCGAGCAACTCGTGAAGAATATCCTCCTCACATGTGGTCGCCCGTACCTTCTTGGAAACTTTGTACTGCTACAGCATTGAGTGCCATGAAATCGAAGGGCGTTGGAGAAACTCTCGCCTACTTGTAATGGAAGGGCGTTGAGTACCTGAAGAAGGTGGAATATCTAAGGTAACCTGACCTAAACCCCCTCAATTACCTGGTTCGGGCGGAGTTCAATAGGGTGGTCTACAGTGGCGGAGAAATCAACGATCTCGCTGAACTCACGCACCCACTGACGGTCGCGTGGCAGAATCTCTCGATGGCGCTCCTCCAGAAGGCTGTGGCGGAGTATCATGATAGTATTTGATATGCTCTTTAATATGGTGGTAGAAATGTCCGATAAGAATTTAATAAAGTAACTTATAGCGTCTCGAAATTCGCAGGATGAAAAAAATGTTTTTTTTGCCCCCGCCCCCGCCTGTTATATAGATTTTGGAACCGTTGCGTTAAACCACAGAATAGGGTAGGGCAACTATCTACGGATGGCAGTCCTTCGGCTGCTAACAGCCCGGAAGACGGTCAATTTGAACGTAATTTGCCGCTCTGTTGCTTGCTGCGGTGGGAGCTGCGTTTCCCTAGTTTGGATAAGCCTATCGATTGGAGCACCGAATCCTGTAATTACGATGCGTCGTGAAGTTTGTATGGCGTTTTTTGGGTTAATATTAGCTTCTCCCGTCATCTATGACCTCGAAACATGGTAATTTTCGCGTGTATCGTCAGTGCGGCGAATTAGGACTCACTTCTCTCATACCCGCAGCACCTTCGTCGCTCGCTGGGGAGCCGAAAAGGAGGAAAATCTCAGAGCCTGTGGGCAAACCACCTGTACAAAGGAATGGATTCTGCGAATCTGGTAATCGTGGGATGTATTTTGAAGGCACATTCCGCGAACTCTACCTTGATAGCCTGAATCTCAAGCGGAGTGCAGGGGTGTCCGATCGGCAGGTACCAGAAGTCTTGCCCCATTATTCGGGATCGCATAGTGAAGAACGAGGAGTCGCTGCGTCAATTATTAGGCGAGATATGGCCAGCCATAGGAGGACCGTTTTCCATTTACGCACGTGTCCGCCTACACAAACATTCGGAGCAGACGTGATTTTTTCTTTGCTGGCACGGCAGGAATGAGATGAGCCGATGATTGCTATGAATTGGGTATTGACAGTCGTCCGCAGCCTGAATTAGTTTGATTTTTTCCCTTTTATTGATGTTCATCAAGGCCAGTGTTACTACCACCTATAAACTCATGAGATTTTCATTTTGTTTCAGAATTGGATCGAACGAGACAGTCCTGCAAGCAGCATATGGCGTCTGCCCTCCTGGCGTGAAATGGCGTCCAGATGACGTGTATCGAGATGTGCAAATAGCGCTCTAAGAGCTCATATGTATCGTTTGCTTTATCTTAATCATTAAAGGCAGGCAAGCCTCTCACCTTAATCCTATAACTAGGCTAGTAATCATGGTTGTTTTATTTTCCATATTTTATACCATTGCTCATTTGCTAACAGTGTTTTTCCTAGCGGTACTTACTTTTCTTCTTCATGAAGACCTCTTTACTTTGTTTACTTCTGGCGTGCTTATTTTGTTATGTCAACAATTGCAGATCAAGATGCCCATCATTTTGGGCTAGCGTTTGGACCTCTGAGGCCTGAATTGCTAGGGCGCCGGCGCAGTCTGTGGAAGGGGGTTTGAAGATCACGGAATCCTCGAAAATGGGAGGGTGGATAAAAGTTGAGCGAATTTTGTTCACACAAGGCAACTTCTGTCTAGTCTTTTTCCCGGAATCACTTAATTCTGCGATTCCTAGGGTTCTCCCAATCGATAAGTATACATTTCTTTTTCCCGCCGCGATATCCGTGTTTCTTCAGAATCCTGAAACCTCTTTCTCATGTACATACAAAGCCTGAGATCTTCGATCTTGGCTGCACTTGTAGTAGGTGCAATCTGGTTCGCTGCCGGATGTAGGGGGCGTGTCCGTGCGGTGATAAGGTTCGCGCGCGGCTGCGCAAATCCAGTTCTCTACCGGTAGTAGCATGTATATAAGTGGATACATTTGGCTAGAAAGATGACTCGCATACGAACGAGCTTCCGGTTGATATGTCGCTTTTCTTGAGGTCTCTTCCAATAACTGGCGGTTACATAGCCGGTTTGGCGCGCCGCGCGGAAAACCATGCCGTCTGACACGCACTTTGTCCACAACGCGACCTTGAAGAAGTGGCTACTGCATCAACTTGTGGCTACTACAGAACAGGCACCAATGAGATTATCGCTTTGCAATCTTTCATGACCTTCTTAACACGTTTTTTAGTCTTTAGAACCCTAACACCTTGGACCTTTATTTTCACACTTTTAGCCAGACTTTACTATACTTTGTCATTTTTGTATAACTATTTTCCAATTATTGTCAAGCGGTGAAACGGGAGTCGTGTGCGTTTATCAGGCGGCCTTTCATCGATCCATTTTATTGACATTTTTTATTCACGTGTTTGAAAGAAATTCTGTGCGGGTTTGATTGCCATGCGACAGTGCCATTCAACTAATTATTCTTATAGGTGGCAATGGTCTGCCCTGCGTTTTATACTACCCTTCCATCTTGCTTTGCTTGTCGTCCTATCAGTCTCTTATGGTGTGGTAGATAGTCTAATACTCCTGAGAACTAATTTGTGTATACTTGTTTCTTCACTGTTCTGTTTTTGTTTTGGCAGTCGAGTTTAGTCCAGATTTTGCTTAACATATTAAGCTTGTGATTGATCTTGTTATGATTTGCTTTTTTGAACATTATACTGGAATGAGAGCGACTCCTCATCGCTCCCTACGGATGCCCAGCGCGGTGTGTGGTTTTTTCACAAGCTTATGTTTGCTTTTTCTATGCCGATGCAACTGTGGACATGGGTGTCCGTCTAGTCGATATGATCCTTCATGGGGTACTATATATGGTCCATTTTTCACTTGTTTACACTTTACCAGGACATTTGATTATCTGACTTTTATGAATTAGCGTATCATGAAATTTTCTTATTTGAGGTCACTCGTTTGAATAGTCTACAAATTTGACTCGAAATCACTCGCCATCAGTTATGTTTTGCAAGAATTTTCTCGGCGAAAAGCTGCTTCCCATAGAGGAAAAAGATAGTTTGAGACGAAGTCCTCAAAAGTAGTTGAGTACGTTTGAAAAGAAAATAAAACCTTCTCCCAAAGCGATTTATTTCAGTTGTGGAAGGTGTAGGCTGTGGCATGCCGCTTTCAATGTACCGGTTTCTTTTGATGAGAATTTGATAACTACCACTTTTCTTCGTCTTTTTTGGTTTGCCATTTTTCAACACAGCCTTCCAATCCAAAAGGTTGCATTGATTTCGACTGGGCATCTGTGCGAATTTTATCCTCGACGATCATGCAATATTATTCCGGTATGTAGCGCATGTATGTGAGGAGGATACCGTGACAAAGAATTCGTTAATTTCGCCGCGCCGAGTGGGCGTTGCGCTGCGACGCTCGCCGCCCGCCCATGACGATGGTTTTATTTCCGGCGATATAGAACCGAACATAGTCATAAATGTCCACGGTTTCGTAGCCCACGTAAGAACCAGCTCCAATCGACAGCTAACATGTGATTAACGAGAACGCGCACCCATTCGCCGCGCGCGGGTGAACGGTAAATTACGATTCTCTTGCCCACTCTCTCGTATGTGAACACGAGAAATGGTTGTAGGATTTTTGTTGATCATATGATTGCAGCGGTTTACCGATGAGTATTGAAGCGCACCTGATCCCGCGCTATTCTCTTACAGGGCTTAGCGTCGCTGGGAGGTTTCGCAACAGACGGGGGAGCTGTCGGTCGTATTCGGTCCGAAGATTCTTTGGTTTCTTGATTGAGTTCTTTTTCTTGATTTTGGGACGCTATAGGAAAGGGGGGGGGGGGAGTTAGTCGTAATTGGCGGAGAGTTGAGGCGGAGGCTGGTGATAGTCGACAAATTGTCGCTTATCCACCATCGCGCGCCTCCGGCGTTTCAAGTCCCGGGTCGGACTCCCACCAGCAACCAATCGCTTTCTACCCTCGGAAGACGACGTAAAGTGCCAACCAAGGCCTTCTACCATCGGAGACGTAAATTTATACTAGATTCGTCTGGGAGAAAAAAAACACTGAGTACGTCGGCTGGCCAACGCAAGTCATTGTATAGGCCACATCGCATTCAAAAAAGCCACGTATCGATGTGTTGATGCTTAGATGTGAGTATACGGGCGCGCATTTACACAAAGAGAGTGATCAAACTGCGAAGACTTTTATTTCCTTTATCCTTTTAATAGATAGTTCGAGTGATTTTCAGGACACTTCCCGGAAAAAGTGAGGAAGTTGGGAGAATCTGGGAAGTGGTAGGTAAGATATGTGAGGGGGCGTCTTATTTTCCTCACGGTTTTCCTCATTTCATATGTGCTATGTACCTCCACCCCTTTCACTCGAGCTCAGTCGTTCAGAGAGAGGCGCGAAACTAGGGTCGAGGCGCATATCAAGCGAACATAGAGAGCCCTCTTTCGGGGCGTCGTTTACGGAGCTCGCAACCAAAATTGCCGCGCGCCCACAAATTGATGCAGCCTCCCCGCTTACGCCCGAAGTATAAGTGCAATTATTCTTCTTCTTCTCCTAGGTTAGTCCCGCGCCCGTCGCAGGGTGTCGCAGGGTCCGCTGATCTTGTTAGACGTCGCCACTTGTTCCGATCCACTGCATCTTCTGCTGTGGCTTTCACTTCAGTGAGGTCCCTCTTGATGACGTCCCTCCATCTTTTCTTTGGGGCTCCTCGTGGTCGCTTGCCCTCTACCTCGAGTTCCAATGCCTCTTCAGGGCTCCTCCAGCTACATGACGTCAGCATCGCGCAGTTCGCTGCCTCTCGTGCCTCAGCCTGGATAGGAGGCACTGAAATGTCGAGTTTTTTTTCCTCGTGGAGGTTTGCAAAGGGATATTATTCCTCACGCTGTTTTGCTCCGTGCTCAGATGACTCATACACTGCCCATTAGATATTCTCGATTCATTTCTCTCTGCTCAAATTGAATGGCCCTTTGATTTCGTACTAATTGTGGGCTAGTTCTAATAACTCTCTTGTATAAGCACGAGTTTTATCAGACAGTCTCTTTTTCAGCAACTACCAATCATACACTGAAACCTATAACTTTTAGGGTTCAAATCCGCTAGAAGACGAAATAGCTCTCACGCTCGAAAGATGAGCTATACTGTCGGCGTCGATCTGGGCACCACTACAGTCAAAGTTTGTGTGGTCAAAGGAACTCAGTGAGTTGATAGTTTCAGCCGGGTTTGGGAAGGCGTGCGTGTGTCTTGAAGCGTTCCTTTTCTCATTGGTGTATACCATGCCAATGAGCAACCAACAGGTGCGGGCCAGGACATCCACATCACGTCCTCCCTATTTCATTTTATTATTTGGATATGGAATAAAATTATGTGTATATTTAGAATTGTAAGGGAAGATCAGGTACGCCATGAATCGAACATACCTGAGCGCTTGGGAGTACAGAGAGCCAAAAGGATTATCGAAATGGCTGTGGACCTCTTGGAAGTCAGTGACAGTGCCAAATGATAATACAGTCTTGTCCGCTGCGGATGCTGGGGCGTGTCAGGGGGCTGTATTTGGCGCCTCGCCATCCTAATTTTCGCCAGTTGTTGTCACTTGCCCTCTTCATTATGTGGTTGGGAGGGGGGAGCATTTTGCAGTTCATTATTGTTTTAGTTCCGGTTTTCAGGTTTCACTCTGGTAAAGCCTGTGAACTCTTGTTAAGCTAGAGTAGGCTCGTCGAGCTACCATGATAAAACCTGTCAACCCTTTTGATGCTTTAGCTCTCTGATTAGTAGCAAAGTGCTACATGCCCCCCCCCCCGTCGCCGAACTGCGCCCTGGTGGGGAATAGGATGGCACCGTGCCGAACCCATCCTGCCTGACAACCTCAGCAGCCGTAGTGAACAAGACTATATGTTCATTCATGCTGGGCAAGATATATGGTCGAGATATCTGCCCCTTCTATCAATTTTTCCTAACTTGCCCTGTTTTGAGGCGGCCTATCAGTTACCATCACTCTTCTACAGTTCAGAAAACCGTGCTTGAAGTGACGAAGAATCCAGCTGAGGACATAAGCCGTATTGGAATCTCTGGCCAACAACATGGTATAGTCTTGTGGAACTCGGATGCTCTGAAAAAGGGTAAGATGACAATACAATCGTTGAAAATCGGCAAAGAAATTATGGAGATTTCGAGGGGTGGGACCGTACATCTTACATACCCTATCCAGAAAGACGCCATAGGGAGAAGGTCGTTAATGTGAAAAGTTACTGCGTGAGTAAGGCAGCGTTCATAGTCGGCGACATCAACGAGTTGGCGACTAACGGTAGAGCGCGAGAATTCGGGCAGCCGTCTCTACCTTGTCGTGGTGGACGAGCTTGAAGCGGGTTTGGAATACCTTTCAGAGTAGGGTTACATTGGAGCTCCCGTCACAAAGAAACCCGAAGTGCCCAGGCTTTGATGGGGCGGCGCTCCCCTTGAGTGATAGGAACGCCCTAGTAAGGCTATCCTGTGAGACGAAAAATACTGCGACCGCTTCTTACACTTGCCTTAGTCCCCACTACCACCACATCTGCTTCCGGTGAGGTGAGTAGGTCCGTAACCACTGCTGTGGACCAGCCATCACCACTTAAAATGCTTGTGTCAGCAAGCCATAAAGCTGGTGAGGTGTTTGACAGTTTCTGTTGCCGCTCCCGATTATTCGATACAACCATTACGGCCACATATGCATGCCCTCACTTTCACTGCCGCTCCCCCCCCCCCCTCACCGGGACAATGCCCAGCGGCTTGAGTTGCAGATGAGGCGATTTTTTAATGCTCCATGTTTTTTGCCTTAGGGAGTTGTTCGCAGTAATAAAAGTATAAGAAATATTTGTGTGCAGAGGTGATGTAGTAGTAAGTGGCAGCGTCAACCAACCATGGTGCCAGTGGCACGACCCTGTGATCACGTTCTGAACGGCTTCCGTGCGGGAAACCAAGCTTCCAATTCGCTGTGGTAACAAGGGTGTGCTAAAAACGCGCAAACCGTGCATCAGCCTTTTTTCGAATCTTTCAATTGGCGCAAGCAGTTATGTTCAATATTCGTTATAAATTGAAATTGGATTCGCTGCAAGCTTTTTCAATATATGCACGTTAGGTGTTCTGGATTGCTCCGAGCTGTACAACTGGATGTATCCCGGTGATGCAGAGGCTCCAGTTAATTTACCCAGGTACTTTGGTCACATGTTTTCTTATATTTTCTTTGAATTGAATTCTTTTTCATATTAACCTGAAGACTGAATCAGAAAAACGATATTTCTGTGAACGGCGACAATTGGCTTTCTATGATCCAGTGCAAGTCAAGAACCTGTAGGCCAAGAGTGTGCGGTTTTCTAGCGGGACTCCTCTACATATTACACATAATATTAGATTGGCTGGAAAATACTGTACAATCACGGAAGTCGAAAAGAAGAGTTCATAAGGGACTTCTGAGCTCTGAGTCGTATCTGAATCTTTGTGCATCAGTTCAATTTTCCTTCTTGCTTAAAACATAAAGAACTACTTCACAGCTTTCTGGGCACAAAGGTTGAAAACCTCCTGAATTATTTCTTCGTGGAAACAAATTTCACGGACACTTGCCTTCAAATGAATGGGGAGGTTTACGAGAGTGAATCAAATAGAAATCGCGTTCAACATCATCTAGACTAAAGAATAGAAGGCTAAAAATGGTTCTTCTCCCTGTTGAACTTCCGGCTGGGTCCAGCTGGTAATGGGTTGGATCCTTCAGGTCTCGAATTTCTTAGTCACCGAAAATTTGGCTGCGAATCGCATTGTCTGTGGATAGTAATGCTCGTTTGCGGCTGGTATTACAGTGTAAGTGTCTTTGATGTGTTGATTAACCCACTCCCATAAAAATTATTACGCTAAGGGTTTTAATCTCAATTTCCCTTTTTATTCTCGTATGTTCTTTTAGAATAATGTCAAAATCAAAACAAATGCCTCGTTTTATTCAAATCAATTCACTGAATTTTATTTATCCAATCATCTCCGCCCCTCAATGGCCTGACAATGAGTCACGCGCGCCAAGCAGCTCCGCTAAATTACAGTCTTGTTGGCTGCGGATGCTCGTACGTGACAGAGGGGCTGGGTTCAGCGCCAACACGTTCTTCACCAATTGTTGATACGAGCCAAGTGACAACAACTGGGTGGAAAAGCGGTTGGCGATGCGCCAGTCCAGCCCTTTCCCCCCCCCCCCCCGACAAGAGCGTCTGCGGGCTATAACTTCTTGAATTTAATTGATGGAATGTTTCCAGATCATCCAGCAACTGTGTATTCCCTGGATACGGTATGCGGACATATGTGTGAACTTGACAGTCTTTGACGGATTTCGACGACAAGAATCATGCAGTGGGACGTTGTGAAACATTATGGACTATTTTGCTTGTTATCTGACCGGCTCTGACAAAGTGCTGATGAGCGAATCGAACGCATACTGTTGGGGATACTCAACGGGATTGCAATGGAACCCGGAAATTGTGAGTTGAGCTGTTTTTAGAAGAGCCAGCGCATTCGGCTACGGGGGAGGCTTTTTGCACTCTCGCTGGTCTATTTGGCTAGTGTTAACGAAGAAGGTATTCGTTTGCGGTGTGGTGGGCACCTTCGTTCGGTGAAGATGTTCCATGAATATGAAATGGTACAAGTGAGCCACGTTGTTTCACAAGAACTTTGCTCACTTGTTGGCCCGTATAGTCTCCGATGGGTACATTTTGGTAGCTCCCCCCCCCCCCTTCACACTGCACGAAGAGCCTTCGATGCTCGCTAGTTGTTTTCTCTCAAAAAAATAACTCCAGTGGCACATTGCCACAATATCAAAGCAGGCGGTGTGGTACACCTAGTTAGTTTTTCAGCCTGCCAATGTGAATCTTGTACAGTATAAAGACAAGAAGCAGAAGAAATCCTGGGAGACGGGTTTTTAAAATGGAAGACACTCATTTGTCTGTGAGCAGAGTGTGGGTATACAGCGACACTGAGCATACAAACTAGAGACAACGAAGAGCAGGGTACACTAACGACCGAAGCCCGCTGTTCTTCATGCGACGTTTCTAGTGTGCAACGTATGCTTCATAAGGGAGACGTGCCGAAGCCATAAATTCGCAACTCCTTGACACTCCTGTCACGCACTTTTTGAGTCGCGGAAGTGGTACAGTTTGTGCTAGTGTGGTCCTGGCTATCACACAGAATATTTTGGCAGAGCTAGTCATAGATTATGCTTCTGTATGGGCTAATAAATACATAGGATGGAATGCGCCATTATCGATCGTGCTCTTATGGTTTAGATCGTCTCTAATGGATTTCCATGCAAAATATGTATATAGCGTACATATGACGATGTTTCTGAGGAATAGAGCGAGGAGTGAACAAGAGGACGAGGGGTGTTTATTAGGCAATTGAGGAGAGGTAAGGGGCCTTGTGCTGCTCAACCCCGTTCCAGTCTTTTAAAGACAGCTCCCGCGATAAAAGTCTCATGGATAGCTGCTTCCTTGTCATGCGTCGTTGTCCAGCCAGTCGAGTCTCTATCGATGTACCTAGGTCTCCATTCAAAGTTCCATTGGGAATTTCAAACCATTCCCTTGTAAGTGACCCTCCAGGGAAGGAAGAAAGCAAGAAAATCATGGAGAGCGCCCATAAGGTTCTTCTGGCAGCCCGCATTCGTATGAGCTCTCCAGACCTGCCTCATTTTTAAAGACAGCTCCCGCCGTAACAAGTCTCACAAGAGTAGACTGCTTTCCAGTTATTGAAACGGCAGCCGATAAGTAGTCTCCGCAAAGAAGAAAACTGGCAAGAAGCGTTCTCCAGAACAACATAAACAAAATCGCTCCCTCACAGTTACACCTCCCTGCGGTCTCTGTGCAGCCCCTAGCTCACAAATCTCTCTATCACATCTCGCAGTAGTTGATATCATCCAGTGCAAAAGAAAGAATACAAAAAGAAAACAACAAAAACGCAGAGGAAAAACTCTGGGAAGGAAAAAGGAATTTTATCAACACGGTGTCTGAATTTGTGATTACGGTAGCGCACCTTTTGTGCGTCGTGGTTTTGCATCACGAAAATTGCGTCACTCGTGTTTTTACGCGTTTCACCTCGCGAAATGGGTTGAATTGAATGTATATACCTCCAATGAGTAAACTGTAATGAAGGAGAGCAGAATTATCCAGGGGCATTAGCAATGCCCGCCGCCCCAACTAAGAACAAGTGAGTGTCCGTCGGAGGACATCTAGCAAGTAAAGGCGGTGTCGACGAGGAGGAGTTAGAACTAGCACTTTGAGCGGCTATAGCAGCCTCCACGCTCACAATAGAGTCGCGAAAGGTGAACAGTCTTCTAGCTTGGAGGCTAGACTACTTGCACAGCAAAGGCGACCACGAGCCACTTTGATCGCGGGGGCTGTCTTTAAAGCAAAAAGTGTTACAGCTTTGTCTCAAATTGTCACAATCAGAGAAAGACGTTGATAGAAAAAAATATTGAAGAAGGCCAGTGGTTTGTTTCGTCCCTGACTTCACACAAAGCTATTGCTATTTCCTTACCCCGGGAATGACCAGTGAAGTAGAAATAAGGCATAAAGGCTTCGCCGTCAATCAATCCTTTTCAGCATGCGGCATGCATTCAACATTCCATTCAGGAATTGTAGTAGTGATCAATGACGCGATGTTAGCCCCATACAAAGAATCTGATGGTACAGCAGAAATCTAGCGATTCCAGCCCTGCTAGACGAGGTCTGGGATCAGTTTACCGTCGTCGGGGAGGGGGGGGGGGAAGGGTGAAAGGCTTGGTTGGCTTGGGAGGCAGCCGGCTTGATCCCCGGATTACGCACTTAGTAAGCGTGCCATTTTCCGGTACACCACCCTTGCCTCCAGTAGTGAGATATGTTTGCAAGATAAGGGTAATCATTTGAAGGAGTTGACGAAAAGATAAGGAAAGTGACTCGTCGAGTGTTGAGTGAAATCTAAGGCTGCGTTTATACTTTGCGGCAGCGTAGCGTAGCGCTTCCAGCGTACGCCAGCGGCAGTGCTGGGGAGAGGATGCATATCGATCTAGCGTTCCCAGCGTCACCAGCGTCACGCTAGCGTTACGCTCTGCTAGCGTTTGCAGCGGCAGAGGGAGTAGAGACTATGTGGCCGTAAGAGACGCGGAATCGACGTGTATTGTAGAGACTATGTGGCCGTCAGAGACGCGGAATCGACGTGTATTGTAGAGACTGAGGGTGAGTGAGAGACGCGCAATCGATGTGTTTTGTACCCTCCAGCTCTCCCATAGTCTCTACTCCCCTGCCGCTGCAAACGCTAGCAAAACGCTGGTGAAACGCTGGAGAAACGCTGGCGTAACGCTAGCGTACGCTAGCGTGACGCTGGTGACGCTGGGAACGCTAGATCGATATGCATCCTCTCCCCAGCACTGCGCTGGGCGTAACGCTGGAAGCGCTACGCTACGCTGCCGCAAAGTATAAACGCAGCCTAAAGGTGCTGGTGCTATTACCCTCATCGGCATGGTTTTCAGATGCCTTTCACTCCGGATTGGATCGAACTGCCAGAAATAGTTCGTACTGATGTTGGCACGTTCACGAAACTGGGCGATTGTCGTTTGGAGTCGTTGAACGGTATTCCGATAGGAGTTGCTATAGCCGATCTTCATGGTTCGATCACGTCTGTACGTGGACTCTATAAAGGAGCTGATCATGCTTGTAAGTTGTGGAATTTGTTTGCTGTTGTGACCCAAAAAAATGAGCTGCGAGGAATAAAATATCCGTACCATAATGAGGGATATGCTTCGTCACAGAGCGCAAAGGTCCTATATGTCAGATACCATGGGAAGATCAGAGTGAAGTAGCGCAGGAATGCTTCCATAGATGATATCTGGGTTAACATTGACTTTTCAACGTTTTAATTTTGTCTAGTAGAAACTGATCCAATTACATTCTCCCTGCGAACCATAGTCATGTGCATGGCGTACTCCTGGAAGCCCGACTAACCAAACGTAATTTCAGATCTTATTATTGGTACGTCGAGTCAGCTGTGTTTTGTTGTCTCAAATTCCGTCCCACTTCCAAAAATGCCCATAACGACACACATATTTCCATTCACTGATGGACTCACATTGTTGGCAGCCGCTTCGATGAATGGTGGGAACGCTTTGGATGCGTTTATTGCGGTATGTCTGGCTATATAGAAATTCGCTAATCTGCAGAAATTGACTGAATTCTGTCTCGGTGCTTCTGAAGCATTCGTCTTATAAAATTATTTTTTTTTTGTGTGGGGAGGTGAAGGTCTACTTTGCCTTAGGATCAAGTGATGAGAAGCGATAAAATACTGAGCGCGTGAACGCGAATCGTGTCACAATACAGCACAACGGCCTGAAAGGCGCTGTTTGTCGACGGGGGGGGCATTTTGTATTTTCATTGCTTCCTCAGTTCCAGTCTAAGGGCACGTGCGAAACGGAAACTAGACTACTTCCTTGAAATCAATGAAAACAGAAATTATATGCAAGAGAAATTCATTCTATTGAGAATATATTACAGTTTCAAACATTGTAATCATTATAACAAGAATAACTTAAACAATCAAATCAAATCTAAATTACATTACATGTCTCACTCTGGCGAAACCTGTGAACTCTTGTGAAGCTGGAACAAGGTCGTCAAGCCATCATGTTAAAACCTGTCAACTCGAGAAGAGGCTGTCTAGATAGGCCGACACGTCGATGGGAAGTAGCAAAAGTGCAAAATGCCCCCCCCCCCCGCCGTCGACAAAGTGCGCCGGCCTAAAATTCACTGTGCACTTTGACAACTTTTGGCAGACGTGTGCACCGCAAAAACCTGGTATGGGCGGAGATACCACCCGATAGAAAAGTACTCATGCCTTTGCCGCGCATTTTCTAGTTAGAAAAATGGTACATCCTATGTGGCCTGGAGCCCTCTGTTCACAGGCCAAGCTTGTACCTCTCAATCGCAGGATGGTCCTGCCAGCATAGAGGCATCCCACCACTGCTTTTTTGGGTGGACATTTCAACTCGCCAGCCGGATCTCAGTGGGTAGAGTCTGCGAAATACCAAAATAAGACTTTCCACCCCCAAGTTTTCTTTTCCGCTGCGATTTCCATCCACAAGCGATCGAAATTTAACAATCAGGGAAGTTTTCCGGGTATAGGACCGTTTCTCTTCTAGAAACTGACCACCCTCAGCTGGAAATCTCCAGTCTCCACAAGCGGCTCTTAATATAAGTGGAGCTAAAGTTGGACGTGCAACATTACACTTGAACGGTCTACATGTAGAATATTCAGTCAAACGAAATCGCCGAGCCTCAATGGATCGCTGATTTAGTGGGAATGGCGCTTTTGGGAGACGCAAATATTCTGTGCCTTTAACACTAGACCTTCAAAGGCCCAGTAGCTGCCGGATTCCCACGGCAATCAAAATCGATAAATGCTGGCCCTGAGGGAGCGATTTTAGCTGCTCACTGCATATTAGTCATTTTTTTCCGTTTCAGCTTTGCCTTGCTTTGCCATTTGTACCGTCTTGTTTCTGCAGAGGCTGGGAACTGTTAGGGGGGGGGGTGGATTCAGCGCGGCGGCAGCCGGTTTTCCACCAACTGTGGTTGAGCAGCTGGCGGAAAGCGGGCTGGCACCTCGCCTAGCCCAGCTCCTGACACTCCTTGGCAGCAGCGAACGAGACTGTGGGTATCAAATTTCACTGGATACAAATTTCACCGAGTTGCTTGCTTTTAAGTGTACGAAGAAATAAAATTTCCAGAATGTTCAGCGTTGGTCACAGGAGGCCACGCAGGCTAACACCCTGAACACTATCGATATGACAAGGATTTTGTCGGAACTGGACCGTGGTGAGTGAGCTTTCTGTGCTGTTTACGCCACATATACAGTCGTCATCCGGGCACTTGATTAGGCGGCCAGGGTCGCGACGCGGCTGCGGCTGTCACGACCGCGGCGATCAGCTGTTTCCAGCCTATTTTAGCCATTTTCTCCCTAATTTTACACTGTTTTGGTTCTGCTTTTTCTCAAGGATGTATCTATCCTGATCTTCATAAGGTAAATTGTAATTGAGAATTCCTTCTGATTTTTGTGTACAATTTAACAGCTCAGTAGGCAACTGAAACAGGATTCCATGACGAAAAGCCAGCAAAAATCACGTATTAGGCAAAAAAAGAGGTCCACATCATTCTAACACATCCTGTTATTACGTTCATAAAGGCAATAAAACAATTTACCTTGAAAAAATAGAAAATACACTGAAAATTAGGGAGAAAATGGCCAAATTAGGCCGGAAACAGCTGATCGCCGCGGTCGTGACGCGCTGCAGCCGCGTCGCGACCCTTGGCCGCCTAATCAAGTGCCGGATGACGACTGTAGATTGTTGATGCGTGCGTTCGCGCAGCTGGTGGTTAAGTTCAGTCTTCTCTCTGTAAACGAAAAGGCGTGTGAGATGATGTAGCCTGGAGCCGACCTGTGGCGTTTTTTCCTCCGATGATGCTATCCTTACCCCGCAACTATTGTTGTGGAAGAGGCTGGCGTGGGTGAACTGCAATCCATGTCTCTTAACACGCCCTCACGTTTGCAGGGATAATGACTGTAGTTTATAACTCGAGAAATACTTTCAGTATCAAATGGAAGTCACAAGTATGCAGAATAACACTGGGCACCTTAGGTTTTTCAAACCTGCGTGAAACATTCATTGCAGCTTCATCACAACTAGAGCAGAACGCACCAGATGGCATACCTGTGGTGAAATCGCTGTTTACTGCTGAACGAGGCTCCGGGGATACTGGAGTAGAGATTCGTGGCCTCAAGCCAACTACGTCGATGATACAGGTGATTATTCGATGATTCTTGAACAGGGCTGCTTTGCGTAAGAAGGTTCCCCC